TGAAGCTTCCGGATATTCTTCAAGGGTAGCCCCATGTAGAGCGCATTGCAGTAGTCTATCTTTGTTTAACAGAAGACAACAAATTGTGCAAATCTCAGGAGCATAATATAGGGTGAGGCTGTATTTCCATGGTGACAGGCCACAGGAAGTATGATGGGAGGCATTGGGCAAGCTGTTCCAGGTGAAGGTTGGTTTTAGGGAAGTTTTGGAGATGGTGGTGGGGCCAGAACTACAGAGAGTCCTAGAAGAAATGGATTTTCTAGACTCTTTTCAGACTGAGTTGGAAATCTCATTGGTTACCCTGCTGGACCATCTTTATTGGGATCTAGAGAGAGTACACCCCTCCTGGTCCTATTAGCATTCTTAGTGGCATTTGATACCATTAATTATGGCATCCATCAGAGCTCCTGTGACAATTGGGGTTTAGATGCATGTTTTGCAGTGGTTCTGTTCCTGTTTGAGTGGGTGGTTCCAGTCAATGTGCAAGGGGTAGGAATGGCCACACCCATGATTGCCCCAATGTAAGGTGCCACAAGCTGTCTCCTCAATGCTATATAATATCTACTTGAAATTGCTGTGTGAGGTCACCTATTGGTTTGGAGTAAAGTGTCATCATCTGCAGATGTTACTCAATTGTATAACACTCCAGGCCAGACTGGAGATGCAGTTGAAATCCTGGCCTGATGTCTGGAAGCTGTTAGGGCTTGAATGGGTTTAAACCACCTCAGATTAAATCCCTGCAGCATGAAGCTGTTGTTTGTTGCTGATAGATCTGGCTTATTACTGGTTGCAACTGACTCAGAATAGGATTACACTTCCCCTAAAAAAACAGGTGTGTGACTTGAAATTCCTCCTGGAAGTGCAGTCCCTGATGAAGCAGTGAGTGGGGGCAATGGTCAGGGGCATTTTGTCCAAGTTTGGTAGGTGTGTCATTTGAGAGCCTTTCTGAATTAGAAAGGTGAGACCAAAATAATGCGATCTATATGGGTTACTTTTGAAGATAAACCAGAAACTATAACTGGTCAAAAACATGATAGCCCATCTGCTAACTGGATTATAGATTCAGCAATATGACATCAATGCTGCAGTCACTGCATTGGTTACCATTTTACTTCCAGGCTTGTTATCATCTTTAAAGCCCTACATACTTGATTCCTGGATTCTTATAGGGCCATCTTTCCTGGCAAGATTCGGCCCATATTACACACTCTTTTGAGGGAGGGGATGCTGAGGGTTCCCACCTAATGGGAAGTGATGTGTGACCTGATGATGCTTCTTCTCAGTGGATGCCTCACACTCTATGATACTTTGCCTCCTGAAATAAAGAATGATCCTAACCTCCTGCCTTTGAAGAATGTGCTTAAGATTTTACTATTCTGCAGGGCACTTGGGTGCTGAGGATGGAAGGGCTACCTCTGAGTTTTTTAAATTATTTATTGTGTTTTAGTTTTTGCTGTAGTTACTGTAAACTGCCTTGAGTCCCAGGAAATCAGTGATAAGTAAAATCATGTATCAATAAATAAATTGGAGTTATGGTAATATGATAATGAATTATGTCTATGAAATTGACAACAAAGATACTACTTTGCACATTCCAAAGAATGTAAGGATAGTTTAATACCAGCATTATTAAAATTAGCTCATACTTACATCATCCAAAGCCTTGGACTGAATATAATTAAAATAAGGGAACTCTTTGAAAATATTTCTAAACTGAATGGCTTAAAACTCATATTAAGGAGTGAGACACCTTAGTGAAGTACGGATATAATTTCATCTAAACGTAAGAATAAAGACCTTCTAATTTTCCCCATTTGCTCTGCATTTCATAAAATAGGTCTTGAAACAAAGGAGAAAAGCAGGAGAAAACTGAAAGAAGAAAACGGATATCTTGGGAAAAATCTGTAATAAATATTTATAAAAATACTGATTAACTTGCCAAGCTTAAACATTATTCATTATATGGGTAGAATAATCCAATGGCCCTGCTATGTTAGTGGCCCACTAAAGCCATACAATAATACCTCAATCTATAAAATAACATAGAGATGCTTATTATTAATGTTGTGGGTCATGGCTCTAAGTATAATGAGTTTGCTCAATTAGCTTTCCTGAGACTATGCAGCCATATATAGGAATTCCTCAGCCACATGATTATTTTTTGGATTTTAAAAGTACTATTGTTTACATCCAAGAAATGTTATAACTTGTAAAAGGATACGGATTTCAGTCACAGGCCTCAAAACCATTAAGTCCTTTTTAGATGTTACTAGTAACAAAACAAAACAAATGTTGATTTTAATTTTCTTTCTCTCATTCACATACACATTACACTTGATCTTAGCCAATGTTTATTTAAACAGCAGGAATAAAAATCAAAATAGGTTAAATTCTGACCTAGTTGTACTTGATTGTGCAATAAATCACTGGGAGAAGCTAGAATAAATCTTGATAATTTATAACATGAAAAATGGCAATACCTTGTGTTAATATACTGATTTCTATAAATAGTAACTATCTTTTCTATTACAGCTTGCTGTGTTAAAGGACATACTGAGGACAGGCTGTAATCCTATTGGCAATGATGTAAAGATGTTGGTGTGGTGGTTGAAGCAAGTGGCAGAGGAAGCCAATGCTGGGAACAGCAATGAAGTATTGAAGGAAAAGGTTACTTGTCAGCTGTCTCCTGGTATGATAAAAAAGTGTCCCATTTCCAATGTTGGAGAAACTTTTAACTTCCAGTTCAGTCAACTTTTGTACATGAACTGGAAAGGACTGCCAGACAATATATATATTTTGGACTAACTTTGCTTGACGTCTAAAATTTCCAAAAAGGTTATCTGGCAAGACAAGTGTTCTGTATTGATTTGAAATCTGCAAACTATGATTCCATACTTTATGCAGTGTAACAAACATATTCACAAATATAGTTTAGAAGAAGGAAGGTAATGCTTGTAAAAAGCTTCTTTGAAGGCATTAATAAAATATATTCCTTTTCCAATTCAAGTGGTCTCTTACAACACCTTAATCTTTATAACTATTGCATATGATGGGTGCTTCTAAGCAAGACTTTTCTGATGTAATCAACCTTCATGATTTACAGGATTTTATAATCCTCTGTGTTTTCACGCTATTTCTTCCATATTCTTTTCTTACCAAGTAAACTTCTAAGAAAGAAAAGATAAATGTCTTTGAATTGGTAGCACTGCACTTGAAAGCACCCCAGATCTTCACTTACTGCACAGTTAGAGGGTTTTTTTTTAATGTCATGCAGGTAGCCCTCGGTTAACAACAGCAATTGGGACCAGAATCACATGATGTCACAAGTTCCAGCATTTCTCGTTGCTGTCGTTAAGTGAATCCCACACAATCGTTAGGCACAATGTCATGGGTCGCCATTTGCGACCTTCTGCCAGCTTTCTCATTGACTTTGCTTGCCAGAAGCCAGCAGTGAAGGTCGCAAATGGTGATCTGTGACGTCGTAATTGTGAGCCGGTCGTAAGTACCAGCTCAGCACTGTTGTAAGTTTGAACAATTGCTGAATGAGTGGTTGTTAAGCAAGGACCACCTGTACTTTAATATTTCTTTACAGAATATTTTATATTTACTTTAATATTTCTTTACAGAATATAATATTTCTATACAGCTAGATTAAACTGATGGGAATGGGAGCAGAAGAGGAAGGAATATGTGAAGGTACAAAAAATATTTTTCTTTCATCAATTCCTTTATTTGGTCTTAAAATAGTGGAATACAAAAGTCTATGTGACTGACATTTTCTTGTACCCTATTACAATTATTTCAGTTTTATCTAGCTTATGTATACTTTTTGTGATTCACTTTTTCTAATTTGCTTGTCTTTTACATAAATAGTATAGCCATAACCCTAACCCTTGTTTTACATTACTCTAACAGATTTAACTCTTGTATATTTCTGAATCTATGATTCTGTTCATGAACATACATTATTCATAGTTATTGCATGAAGGCTGTATTTTAAGTACCTTTTGTAGGAAAAAAGTATAGAAAAAAAGTGTAATTTACCTTCCATACTAGAGGTCTCTGAAATATATGGAAATGATGGTGCTTTTTTAATTCCTTCTGTATTTGCAGAAGCAGAAAAAATATTATTTGCAGAAAAACAATTAAAATCTGAATTTTGGGCTATCTGCATATTATTTTTCCACAAGTCTTTTTTCATCTCTTTGCTGTTAATAATATTGCAATATGTATCCATTTCTATCTTTGCACTGGCATTGTCTGCATATGTATAACAGGCTGGTTTAAATAAGCTGTAAGGAATAAAAGGATTTTTTTTTAATAATATACAAAAACACACACATCTCTTTATATGACAATTATATACTATTGGTCTGTTGCACTGTTTACAGAAACTAATTTTTAAAAACCTTAAAAACAACTTGCATAACTTTGACTATTCAGCTGAACATAGTCCATTAGCAGTACAGAGAAGTACTGTATGCTCTCTTACTGGGAGGTATTACTCAGATCATCTTGTATATCTGCTTTTTTCAGGTCAGCATAACATCCAAAACCATTTGTACTGAGCTTCTGAACAATTATATAACTTGGGTATTGCAGGTTGCAGTATTTCAAAGTTTTCAAAGAATTGAAAAAGAAATCAGAAGGTAGCAAAACCTTTCCCTTTGTGAAGGAAAAAACTGATCACTTCTAACTTACTCTTTTCTTGTTTTCATTTTCACTGTTTATATCTCAGTAATTAAGGAAAAATTCAATGAATGCTATACACTTAATCAAAAATTAGATGCATCTCTTTTTGATTATCAGCATTCATCAAGTTGGCATTCAAATGAACTCTACATAGCTTCAAGTTACTTAGACATTCAGAACAAATTCCTGAAAAAGGACAGCTCTAGTGAGCTGTAACAAATCAGCAAAAATTACTTTTTAATCCCAGAGTAATAGGATGAGAAGTAATGGGATAATGAGTTATGGCATCCCATTAAAGTAGTAAGAATTTTATGACTAACTTCTACAAGGACTGGATTACAAAATCTATATTCTGCGAGATGCCACAGGACTATGTCCTTGTGAGCAAATTGAAGAGTGATGGCAAATCAGTTGTTTCTTAACTAAATAATAAATTAAATTGTGTGTTTAAATCCTTATAAAAGGCATTTTGCCTAAAGCAAATCCAACTATTGTACTAAAACATTGTTCCCAGATTTTCTTACATTTAAAAGAATATTAATACAACTGGAGTCCAATTAAGTACTTCCATTTCAGAGATCAAAAACTCACGTTTTGACAAATATATCTAAACTAATATGGGTCTGATAATTAATTATTAAAATTGGCTTACAATCGTACCTTTTCCTGAATGTTGAGCAAGCACTTTCATCACAATCTTCTTCTGGAAAATTAATTAATACTTTATTTTCTAAAGGGCTGTATAAGTCAGCTGACAAGCTCTACTTATGTTCTAATCAAGGTCATGGAGAACAATGGATCTAATTCCAAGCTATTGCCCTAAAAATGGCTTTTATCTTCCTGCCCAATTTGAGGCTGTACTTACTACAATTCTCTTTGTAAACAGTCTTCCAAAAAATGCAGAATATCATGCCTGTCATTAGCCTGTCAGTTCAGTAAAGCTTGTATTGTTCTCATTGTTCTTTTTTATTTTTCACATGGATAACATTCTTATATCTTACATGCATATCTCATGTACAATATTCTATAAAATATAAAAAACTTTGCACTATATAAATCTCAAAACACCACAGTAGAATATCTTTAAAAAATCTAAAATACAGGAATTCAAATAAAAAAATTTTCCTCCTCTATTTTTATAGACTGACACTTTTCAAAAGAAATTCATACATTTGAGCAAATAATATGAACCTTCCATTCAGAATAAACCATTTCTGAACTAATTCCCACCCCCCAAAAAAGTATCATATAGCATGATTTTAACATATCAACATATATTTATTTTATTCAATTAAATTTATGTATTGCCACAAGAATGATAATAATAGGCAATATCACAACTAATCCCCCAAAGCTCTCTGGAACAATTCTGGAAGAGCTTTAGCTCATCATGCTTTACAATTCTCTCTGGGTATGTATAATTCAATCCATTTGCACATTGTCCATGTTTGTACAATATACTAGCACTTGGTTAGCTGAACCATGGTTTACTGAATTAATCAATCACCTGGATTCACACAACACCTTGAAATACAAATAGTCAACCACATTTTTACTTAGAAAATTCAGCCAACTTTCTGTATGTTCAATATCATTATTGCTATTACAAGATTTTTAACTCAACAAGAAATTAATTTTTTGCAAGAAGAACCTGGTTGTCAGATAGCCTATTCAGCAAAATATCAAAGAAACAATCAAGAAATATATCAAAACAACTATAATAAATTATGGCAAGAGATTAAAAGAGACCTTGAAAGGTGGAGGAACTTAAAGTTATCTTGGTTAAGATCTACTGCAATTATCAAAATTAATGTATTGCCCAAGATAAATTATTTATTTCAAATAGCATCAGTTCAAATTTCAGAAAGAACTAGCCAACTCATAGTCATTCAAAGGAAACATCATGTGGTGCCACACACTACAATTTTAATTTAATGAAAGACTTATTTATGGATGGTCTGAACATTCAATCAACTTGACCAATGACCTTCATAAACTTGTGAACTTGTCTCAGTATTTGGAGAAATTGTCTGAATTCCAGGTCACATCCAACCATGCCAGTATAATCCTTGGATCCATAATTGCCATAAAAAATCCAAATACATCCAAAAAATTCAGGTCATCCACTGCCAAGTATTTTCCTCACTCTGTGCCTTCTCTTGTTCTTCCAAGATACTTTTGATCCAGTTTACTGTATCCTGGATCTTCCGGCTCTTCTTTAGTGTATGCTTTCGTTTATATTTGTTGTGATGTTCAATCATCTTCAGGGTTTTGGGTTGTACTTCCTTGAGCAAGGTATTCATATCTTCATCGTAGTCCCAAATACAGGTTAAAGCAAGGTTCTCAGCAGCCTCCTCCCAGTGGCCCAGAAGCATATGTGCTTTCCCTCTCCATTTGTATGCTTGTGCATCATCAACATTGAGCTCTGAGGCTTTGTTGCAGTCTCTAATGGCAGCATTGGGCTTTTGCATTTTGACAAAGATACTGGCTAGGTTGATACACAAGACTGAGGACTGTGGATTCAACTTAACAGCTTCTGTGAATAGGAAACCTGAAATGGTGTCCCCCATACTCTCCAGTGAATCTCTTAGGAAACTTAACTGTTTTGCTCTTAGGAATATTGGGTCTTGTTTGTATAGATTGAGCAAGGCTTGAAGATCACCAACACTTTTAGGATCCACTAGACAACCCGTGACCCACTGGGTCATCATTTCAGAGATATTTCCTTACCCAAACAGAGAAACAGAATTACCATGGGCAGGCAAAAAAGCAGTGGGAGTGGGAGTGATTTTCGACTTCGTGCTGGCTTCCCCATTGAGTTTCCTTCCTCCCTCCCTCCCTCCCTCCCTGATGGAATGTGAGGATGACCTTAGAGGCTGGGGGGTGGGAGAAGAGATGCCACCTAGGGAACAATCAGATAAAAGAGAAAAGAGTCCACAACAGAGTAAGAGCCAAAGAAACTTAGGAAGAACTCGCCCTAACTATTCAGGTGGTAAATAGGAAACATGGGAAATTTGTACTTTCAGACTTGCAAGATTCTGTTAATGTAGCCTTACAATAAAGTAGAATTAGCTCATATAGTCATGTTTCCTGTCTGGTTTACTTGAGAAGGCTGACAACTTCTTCCCTTCCTTTCCCTTCCCTTCCCTTCAATTGAGTTATCATGGAAATTAGGGGCCCTATTGCTTTTAATTACTTGTTTATCATTATAAAGAGTATGCTTAAATTATTAGCTTTTTTGTGTGTATTTTGAATTTTTTTAATGGAAAAATGGATTTGACCTTTGTAAACTAAATGACAATTCAATTTTAAAATTGATATAGTTTTGCAGTTTTGATAACTATCCCTTCTCCTGCTTTCTTGGATTATATCCAAAATATTTCACATCCAGCTTTTCTGCACATCTGATTTTCCTCTTCTATTGTACATACAGAGGTACAAAGTGGTATAGGTATATAATCTGAATTCATCAAGGCCTCACAATCCAGAATATCTGATGAGGCAAAACTTTAAATATAATACTGAAGTTAAAGGAAGAGACTGAGATAGCAAGTGTGGACCCATGCACAGATAGACATATGTATGTTAAATTGTTTTTAAAATGTTACTAGCTTTATTCATTTGCATTAAAATTAAATGTGTACATTAAAAAAACCCAGAAAGCTAAAGGTAGTAATTTGTCTAATGTTTCTAATTAAATTGGAATTGGAACTTTTAAAAAAAATCCTACTTTATTCCTCCAAAAGAGAGAGTTGTTGAGTAATGTATAAAGTATTAGAAGCATATATATTAACCAGTTCAATGAAGAAAAAATATATGAAATTTGCAGATTGGAATGTAGGATTTGGGGTACAATATTAGTGACATATTTGAAAACTA